GGGGGGTATAACGGCACCTCCTGACAATACTCGTTCTCCTGAACCCGAAGTTAGATGTGGTGTGGTGTTGGTAGAGAAAGAGTAAAAATTAAACAATGTGTAAGTTTGGCGTAAAATACCTAAAGGGGAAATGACTTGGGTAATCCGATAGACACGGCCTGTGACAATTCGGGGTAATCCGACAGTCTTTGGTGTGCCTGTCGATAGTGCAGAGAGAAGGCGCGAGGTAGCTGTAGTATGTATTTATTACATTATATTATTACACTGTACATAACACACTCTGGGTTAACCCAATAATTCCGCGGTGACAATGTGCACGCGCATATAGGGATTGGTGGAGATCTCATATCCGTCCCGTTCAGATTACCATCCGCGGCCGACATGAAGAGGCTCAGATAGAGCCGAGAAGAGAGCCGTCAAGTAAATCGAGGACCCGCACGGCGCACGCTGCGCTGTGATTAGATCGGCGCTGGGTGGCGCCCTCGGCCAGCCTAACATCTAGCCTCACAAAGGCTCGTCGACGTCAGGTAGTTGCGAACCCCCTGGAGCCCGCCGGGGTGCGTTCAGTACACCGTCCGCCAAGCCAACCACACAGTAAAATTGACATATTGTATTTCAAGCAATCTACTTGGTTTTCGAGACAATTTTCAAGGAATCTGCTTGGATTCCAAGACGTTCTTTTTACCGTGCAAGCGGGCCCACGGGCTTATCCGTTGTACACGAGATCTCACAAGGAGACTTAGGTAGGTGTAAATTCACGATTCGGTTTAAACTCGATATATTTGCTTCTTAGCCGAGTTTGAACTGAATCGGGGATTTACACCTACCTAAGTCTCCTTGTCAGTCGTTTCGTCCCTGTTAAGAGAGATCAACGTGGATAAGACCGGGGTTATTCTCTGAACACCAATACCTGTAACACAAGAACAAGTATTTTTTTTTTCAAGATTCATAGCCTCAAAAATGTTGATTCGCCTCCTGGCCAAATTAACGGTTGGATGGCGTAATGTTGAAATGAAAACGTTTTGCTAACTATTGGAATAATCTCCATCAGAAATAAGGCGGTCTCGTCAACTCCCCAGTTGAACCCGGTCTGGGCCGTGGCGTAAGCTATCTCCTACTATGTAAAGAGTGAGTAAGTCGCTTACCATAGTCCCTTTTCGCCAAGACGCGCCTCAACGGCCGGCTTCAGCACAGGGACTCCGCCTTTGCTGTGCACGCCCCTTCCAGGGATGATGCGTACATAGTCCACGTCGTTTTTTTCATTTCGCTTTATAAACTTGTCTACTTCTTTTAGGGCCTCCTTCTTGTGGTAGCCGTGGAGGTTTAGTGTAGGAACACGAAAACCGCTCTCGATGTCGTCGTCGAATCGATGGTATTTTGGCACCTTATTAATCGACGAATTTTCAATAACGTCGTCGAGAACTCTGTCTCGGTTTGATCCACATCTGTAGCAGCAGCAGTAGTAGATTATTGCGCACAATACAATGACTGCAAGCGCTGCAAGCCCTGCAATCAAACATAATTGGAGGCACTTTAGACAGGTTGCGGACACGGGAATCTACACTTATAAAGTTTTCAACCCTTCAACACGATAAAGTAACTAGAGGGACCAGAAATATGACAAAGCTTTGTTATGCGAACCCGCAAGGCAACGGCGGACCAACCCGCAAACCCGCGCAAACCCATAACCCACTCAGCATACCCGCGCGAATCCCACAGGCCTGCCCACAATAAAGCGGGTACATATTTGTAGTTTGGGACAATTCTGTCAAAATACGCTTAAATCCTTACAATTCTTGTATAACAAAGATTTCTGTGCAACCTTAATACAAAGCCAAATTTTCTTTGTAATACAAAGTAAAATCTTTGTAAACGATTGAGAGTGTAAATGCGAAAGCACAGAAGTGAAGTCCGGTTTGGCTCTAACGTCGGTGTCGGTAGGTGACCGACAGATGCAAGCTCTCGTAGCGCCTGGTGGGTAGGCAGGCAACATCTCGCCTGCATTGCAGCCATGTACTGCGGAGTGGCCCACCCCAAGTCTTGCAGGCGCCAGGCTCCGTTTCCGAGTGAGAAATGCAATCAATATTGAATTGACATAGGCAGTCCCGTACCTACGGTCTTGTTGACATTCGGAAATTTTGATTCCGCGTGCTCATAACAGTTTTAGAGTTATTCAAAGGCGTCGTGCAGCTTTTCTATGTTTTACTATGCGCACGCGTCGTGCAGAATGTTGCAATTTCGTTATTCGAACGCACTGCTTTTTCCCTGATCACACTTCGACTCGAACCCGAACCCGAACCTTCTAAACAAACTTCGAGGGCCACAGTCTTCATGAATCCAGCCTCTTCATCAATTAACCCCCCTTGTTCCACTGAGCGTTTGAATTCCGCGCGTGCACATAACATTAACTCTGTTCTGCTGACGCTAATCTGCGTTCCAATAACTTTTGTGCCATTTATGCGCACGACGAGTGTCCATAATTTCGGTCAATCTCAAATAGTAGTAGCGATAAGCGCGAAAGTTACTTTGTAACATTGTAGGCCCCATAGCATCCGTTACTAATACGTAACATAACTGAACGAATTTTATCAGGTGTCTTCCTAAGAGCTGGCTAGTGGGCATGGGCCGCCCGGCGGCTGAGTGAACTTTGTGCAGAATTAACAATGCGCTTTGAACGGTTTGACAAAGCAGACGAAGCAACGTAAGGCCCGGTTACGATATGTACTTATGATGATGCACTTGCCTATCATACCACCAGTTGAGTCCGCGGAATCCATTCTTGATGTTGTGCAGTGATTGGCGTTGTCCCTAATGGAAAATTGCGACAAAATGTCGGTCAGCAACCTGCGCAACACACCGAAAGTACCATAAGAGCGAGTACAGAGATCCGTAACGTAAGGGAAGGTGGGGTACATACTGGCACTTTTTGGAAATTCCTCTCTAGCAGGCAATGTTTAGGCAATCTTTTGACTGTCAGAGTCAGTGTGTCTCTACTGGACCTTCAGTCATAAGAAACCATTGAGAAACCCACAAAAATATAAGTGTCTTTTCAGAAATAATCTTTAGAAGTTTCTGAGCCGCTGTAGGGCTACATATAAAATCTGGGGGTATATTTTTCAACTCAAGGGATGGATTAACTCAAAATTATATTAGTATCAGAATGCCATGAACTTTAGTTTAATGAGGGCCCAATAGGGAATTTCAATAAAGTGTTGCCCGAAACTAAGAAGAACAAAAACGGATACAGAGTGCGGTGGTGGGGGCATGCGCGAGGAGGAGCGGTGGGTGGAGGGGAGAAATACCCTATTGTGTACTTCTAATTTTATAGGATGTCACTGAAAACTGGTTGGCGTTCTTCTTCTCAGAACGCCAAATAATAGCGTCATAAGACGCCAACCAGAACCAGTTTACGGTGATCTCACTTGTCAAGTTAACGCGCAGGATTTTCTCCAGAACAGTTGGTGATATAAATCTGGTTCATAGCTTGTCCTGATTCAGCTCATCAAGGACACAGGGTTTTTACTGAAGTTTTAAAACTAAAAGTTATACTCTGGTTAAAGTAGAAACATTTTTTAAAACTATTTTTTCAGGATAATTACTTT